TAATGTATCCCTGGTTAATCTATAACCGGTGGCATATAATTTATACGATGCAAATATCGCTTAGTAAGAGGAAAGAGGAGGAGGGCAGGTTGGATTCGAAATTATACGCTTTATTGTCGAGTGAACTCGGTACACCCGTAGCGAAGAGTTATTAACGATCATGTAAAAATGAAAGATAAGACTAGATCGATCGATCGATCATTCGATCTATCTATCTATCTATCGATTATTGATTATCGATTCTTCCCTCCTATATAATTTCGTAGCCGTGCGCCAATAATGTAATTTTCTATAGTTTTTGTAATTTTGAAATTAACACTCGTCGATCGATACTTTTCGACTTGTACTGATTGAAAATTGTGGATACGTGATTATCGTACCTACGAAGACGCCCTAACATAATCTTCGCTATGAGATCGATTTGAAAATCATAAAATCAATTAATTTTAAGAAGAGAAATCTACGTATTTTAATTTTCTTACGTTTTTTTTTTTAATAATCGACGAAGAACGAATTCGATTGGTTTTTATTTTCCCTTTTTTCTTTTCTTCTTCTTCTTCTTCTTTTTTTTTTCTTTTTTTTTTCTTTTTTTTTTTCATCGAAGAGCAGAACGATACGATTCAATTTAATTAGGTAAACTGTACGCGGATGAATTGTTTCTCCCAATATCTCAATATTGCAATTTTAGTAGCCGATAGATTGATGGTTCAAAGGTCCTCTATTTTGAACCGTGCAATCTTCGTAAGCACTTTTTTTTTCCTTTTCTTTTTCTTTTCTTTCGTTTCTCGACAAAGACTTAAGAAATCAATAAATATCGAAAATGAGAAGAAGATGAAGAAGAAGAAGAAGAAGAAGAAAAAAGAAAAGTGAAAAGAAAAAGGAAAAAGAAAAAGAATATTCGAAGAACGGTCGAGAGATCTTGTAAAAGCGAACATCAGCTTATAGTAAGTTGGTTACAACGTAGATTACAACGTAGAGGCTTACTATCTACGTAGCGCAGATTAAGTGGTCTTAATGCTTATAATTTCCAACGTCCTCGTTAAACCTAATCAAAGATTGGCAGTAGAAAGCAGAAAGGGAGAAGAGGAAGAGAGAAGTAGAGAAAGAGAGAAATAGAGAAAGAGAGAGAGAGAGAGAGAGAGAGAGAGAAAAGGAAAGAAAGAAAAAAAAAAAGAAAAGAGGAAAATAAGCTCAACAAATGATGAGAATCATGACGGGGTGGGATAGGTGGATAAAAGAAGAGAGAGAGAGAGACTGTCTTTGTGTGCGTGGGTGTGTGTGTGTGTGTATATATATATATATGTTAGAGTACACATTTACGCGTCATTAAGTTAGAAGTGACGGAGGCAATCAAACGGATATTTGTGTGAATACCGTGCCACGAGTACAAATCGAGGATCGTAAATATACGTTATTGACGAGTGCACAGGATTATAGCACGAGGAGGCAAATTATCGACGTAATTCACGTATACATTACGCGTTCGCCATGTTGCTTTGTATCTCATCGAGAAGACCAATTATTATTACTGTTAGCCTTGGACGATGATATATAATTTCTATTCTCATGATATTGTCTGGGATCTTATCGGAGTCGATAACTTGGTTAAAAGAAAACAAATAAAAAGAATATCTTCGATGAATCAACGTTCTTTGTTTGTTTCGTTCGATTAAGGAAAAAAAAAAAATAAATAAATAAATAAATAAATAAAGTTAAAAGAAAAGAAAAGGAAAGAAAGAAAAAAAAAGAATATCATTTTTAAATTTGTCCATTGCATGCACGAATTTCACTTAATGCAATTGCTCGGTTGAAATTTTCATTACTATCGCTCTTGTACTGTTTCTCACCCCCGCCTCCCTCTCCGCTCCCTTGAGAAATTTTCAATCGTTTTCGTTTTGAATTAATTAATCGCCGTGAGAACGTTTAAATAATAAGAATGAAATAATAACGCCTCGACAGTTCGGGAAATCCGTTCGAATGTAATTTCATGCGCATAAACATTCGCCGTCCAATTATCCGGAAATGCAATTTCCAGAACCAGAGTAAACTACACTTCTCTCTCTCTCTCCCTCTCTCTCACTCTTTTTCTTTTTCTCTCTTTCTTCTTCTCATTTCACCATTCTTTTTTTTTCTTTCTTTTATTTTATTTCTTCTCTCCTCTCGTTAAACCGCATTGAATCGGAAAGAAGATTTCGGTGAAATAGGCTCTGCTAATATCTACTACCTTTCCATTTATACTCTACTATCTCGATAGAGAAGCAATAAAAAAGTAACTACAAACTAATCCCTTCTAAATAAGTAAAGACATTTGCCCGATAAAGATCTATCCATTCTCATTGAAATTTTTATTACTTTCTTTCGTGAGGATCTTTCGAAAAAATTTTTTAACATTTTCTTTTTTTACTTTCTTTTTTTTTTCTTTCTTTTTTTTCTTTCTTTTTTTTTTTATTAAAAAAGCTTCGCAATTGTCGCTAATAAATAGCTTAATTAAATATCGTTTGAAAATGGTAGAAAGGAGAAAAAGAAAGAAAGAAAGAAAAAAGAAACAGAAAAGGAATAGAAAGGCATTGTTAATAAAATTTTTTTTCTCTTTTTTTTTTTTTTTTTTTTTTTTTTTTTTTTTTTTTTTTTTTTTTTTTTCTTATAAAGCTCGAGTTTGAATCGTTCAATGATACAGGAAAGAAATTCAACTTGATTTTTATTATTGTAGATCATTGATCTTCATCGATCTTTTACACGCATTGATATCGCGAGATTGATTTAATCACGATTGATCCAATTACGATTTTAAGTAGATTTAATGATTTGTCGTTCTTTGATCGAGATTTTATTGTTGAGGAAGGGAAAAATACTAAAACGAATAATCCACTTTAGGGAATGACGTGTATGAAATTCGTCGTGGTATTCGAATAACGAAGAGAAACTCTCTTTCTATCTTTGAATTTTAGATTCTCGATTCGTAGCGTAGGGAAGAGACACTCGTGTTAGCCTTTCAATCAAGGTAATTGCCGTTCGATCAAGTTCGAACCTGAGCCGATCCTGTCCAACGACAGCTTCCCTGACCGAGTTCGTGTTCCTCGAAATTGGAAAGCTCGTGAGCTTTCGCACTGGAACACCGATCCCGATCACAGAGTATTTACATGGATCGATTGCCCATGCGAAATTAACCCTCCTCATTCCACTTTCGTCTTCCAATTCCTTAACTACGATCTATAAAAAATGGGATATTTCGAAATCGACCGAAAAAAGATATAATAAAATATATTAGATATAATAATTAGATATATTTTTCTTTCTTTTTTTTCTTTCTTTTTTTCTTTCTTCTTTTTCTTTCCATTTTTTTTCTTTTTTTTTTTTTTTTTTTTAATTTTTTTGCCAATAAGGTTTCGATTTTTTCCATATAAAATCGATCTGTGGTGCACTTAATGTTGACTACAAAAAAAATAGCGATCGTATATCGTTTAATCGAGAAAGTATTGAATGATAATTATACAGTTATAAATGGAGAGAAAAATTAATTTAAAGAGAAGAAAAGAAAAAAAAAGAAGAAAAAACCAAAAAAAAAAGAAAAAAGTAAAAGGAGATAACATTTGTTCAAATCGAATTTATTTACGTTGGATTTATCTCGAGAAAGGAACAAAATAACTGGAAACGTAATATGGACGATTATTAACAAATTAAATAAATTTTTATATCTACGATTATTCGAGTGAAATCTATGCTCGTCGGTATATTTTAAACGCAACGTTTAAAACCATCGGCTTTTATATACATTTCATGTATAAAATAAAAGAAGAAAAAAAAAATGAAAAAAAAATATTGAATGTAATTTGCAGAACATTTTTTAATCTCCATCGAAAGTTTCCATGATATATTGAAAAAGTAACCCGAATATTATTCACGATTTCACAAATAAAAAATATTTCTGCGAATGGGAGTCGTGTTTACTGTTTCATTTTTCTTGTTTTTTTCTTCTTTCTTTTTTCCCCCATCCCAAGCAAGTTTATTTCTGTTGCCAATATTTTTTTATCTCAATTTTTAAAAATCGCGAAACACATGCAATGGCTCAAAGTAAAACTCCGACACTTGGATATTTTTGCTTTATGAAGCGATAAGTAATATAGAGGACGAATTTTAAAATAAACGATTGTTCATTAATTTTTTTGAAAGCTATTTTCAATAACATACGAATTCATAAGAAACAAAAATAAAATTCGTAAAAAAAAAAAAAACATAAAGAAAAAAAAAGAAAAACAAACAAAGTCTTAAGATTAACTTAGAAACTAATATCAAATTAAAACTCGGACAATATTCTTATGCATATATTAATGTATATTGCAAATTATTTTTACTCCATCATGACATTTAATTAGTAGTTTGTCTCGACACCTTTTAAATCTATTCCACATCGGTCGGATTAATTTTGCAACATTTTTGACAAATTTTTCAATATTTTCTTATTGTTTTTTCATTTCGATGGATTTACAAAAACAAAAAAAAAAAAAAACAAAAAAAAGAACGTCTCTAAGACGTATTTATCGAATGTCCACGTGCACGTAAAAGACAACGGGATCATCTTGGTGGCGCGCGGTTCGGTGGCGGCGGATTATATATCGGCACATGCGCCCTGCCATTCTCTGTATCTTTCCTTGCGTCGTTGAAAAAGCTGATATAGCCGGCGGCGTGTCAAAACCATTCCTCTCGAGTCATGACGCGAATAGTACGGCGCGTTTCGCCATCGCGTTCGGTCGCGTACGTGTCCTATAAAGTTTCTTATTACACTTTAATAGTCTCGTAAAAATTCAAATTGATCATTAAACAAATAATTTACATGTTTTGTCTCTTTGGAAAATTAACATCGCTACGTCCATTTTTCTTTATAACATTTTTCACGTTTTAATGAAAAATTTCTAATACATCGTACGTCGTTGTCTTCGATATTATTATATCGAGAACGAATCGAGTTGGTCATTTTTTTTCTTTGTTTTTTTTCCCCTTTTTCCTTTTTCTTTTCTTTCGCACACACACACACACACACACACACACACACGTATATGTGTATATATCTTATAGTGCGTAAAGTGCGTGTGTATATTTTTTGTGTATCTCTACTCACCTCACGTTCGTACTGAATATTAAAAAATAATTTTTCGTTTTATCTATGGGTATAAATTTTCAAAAATTTCGAAAAGATTTTACGATCGATAAGACAGTGTTTCTGAAGGGATACTGAATTATTACCGGAGAAAGAAAGTCGTGTATTTTCTCTTCTTTTCTTTTCTTTTCTTTTCTTTTTTATATATATATTTTCTTTCCTTTCTTTTTTGCTTTTGGTTTAGAATCCATCACATTACGCTGACACATAAACGTGCTACAGGTAATTGCTCTTCTTCTTACAGCAAACTACTTCATTGAACTTTTGGTATTAGCGTTCATGTTTTTTTTGGCAGAGATTCGAGATGTTGAGAAAAGTTGGTTGGTTAAAGAGGAGAGTTTTGAATATATAAGGGGAGAATGTCGTCCCGTAAAGACTTTGATATTACACACTAATGACGCTGAAACAATTTAAATGAATGAGATGACACAACGTTTACGAAGATTAAATTGCTTTTTTTCTTTATCTTATATATGATAGATACAAAAAGCGAGGATAAAAAGAGAATTTATTTATTGTAAAAGAAATTGAACGAATTTTTTTTTTTTTTTGACGTTATTAAATTCCTCATTTTTTTATCAAAATATTCGATTTTTAATATTGAATTAGACGAATACATTCGACAAAAAAACAATTTAACAATGGGTATAAGTGAATTAACAAATTTGCCGGGAATACTTATGTAGTTTTCTAATTTAGCGTTTCAATTCGCCATCGTCAAGATTGATAAAATTATTGAAGGAGAGATTTGGGAACAACGAACCATATATATATATAGTAGTAAAAAAAGAAAAAATATATTCACACATACGGTTAGGAAATTAATTTGGAGTTTATAACGAGAGAGTACTAAAATACCTATCCAAAACTGGCTCTGTATGTCTGTCTGGTTTGTTCGTCCGTCCATCTGTTTGTCTCTCTCTCTCTCATCCTCTCTCTCATCTCTCTCTCTCTCTCTCTGTCTCTGTTTTTCTCGTTCTCTCCCTTTCTCTCATACGATACGCATGAGACTAAATATTCCCAACAAAACGAAAAACAATATTTCGTATCTCCGATTTTGGTGGCTTTCGAATTTTTATCCCAGTACGTTATATTCCTATGTATATATCTACGTTAAAACGTTTATTTATTTAGAAGAACATCTCTTGTTTCATCAATTGGAATTAAAATTTAAACAAACATATCTTTCTGCCTTCTGTGCGACGTTTGTATATATATATATATATATATACATATATATGTATATAAACTTAGAAAAAAAAATAAATATACTAATATAAATATATACATATATACATATATACATACCTACATATCTCCTAATTGTTTTTTATAATTCACAAAAAAGTATATTAAAATGAAATTCTTAAGTTCAATTATTAAAGTCGCTTAAGACTGAATGAAATAATGAATAATAAAAGTTATTCAAATATCTTTTATGATCCATCGAATTCTTTACAGAGAGAGGATATCTAATACACTAGATTTTTTTTTTTTATTTTTTTTTATATCGTTTTACTGAATCAGACGAGCGTGGATATCGGAATGACGAGAAAGAGAGAGAGAGAGAGAGAGAGAGAGAGAAAAGTCCTGACAAAAAATAATAGAAAGAAAGAAATACGCGACTCGGCGTTGGTAATAATTTCAAACACGACGAATAGAAACGTATAAAAGAGGAAAACCCGTGAGGGCGAATGGAAAAATTTTGCGCTTACGGCGAAAATAGTGTACAGTAGAAAAGCGCGGGCGATTTAAACCCGTTTCTCTGACGTGACAAAAGAGAAAAATGGTAGCTGGGAGACAGATAGAGAAAGAGAGAGAGAGAGAGAGAGAGAGAGAGAGAGAGAGAAAAAAAGAGAAAGAGACGCAGACAAAGAGTAAGACGAAATAAAAACGTCGAGTAGCTTAGCTACTCTTCTACCTTCGATTCGTTCTATCTGTATCTCCTTTTCTCTCTCTCTCTCTCGCTCTCTCTCTTTTTTTTTTTCTTCTTTTTATCTGTCTCCCTTTCTCGTAGAGACTAAAAACGAGCTCTAAGCTCTTTAAAACTCTCCGGCGCCTACTGGAAAATCGGGTTTACATCGGCTCGACTGCCACGTACGAGCTTCGTTCAAAGTTTCCACGGCGTTTCCGTCCGGAAAAGGGCCACCCTTTCTCTTTCTCTCTCTCTCTCTTTCTCTCTCTCTCTCTCTCAGTCTATTTCTCTTCTTTCTCTTTTCGTTTCACCAGCTCTGTCTCATCCCTATACGCGAGATATTTCTCTCGTCCTTTCTCGTGAATATTTCTTTTTTTTTTTCTTTTACTTTTTTCTCTTCTTCTTCCTTCGTTTTCTTTCTTCTTTTCTTTTTTTCATTTTTATTCTTCTTTTTCTTTTCTCTTTTGTGTGTCTTTTTTTTCTTTTTTTTTTTTTTTTCTTTTCATTTTAATACCTCTCTTTGTCTCTCCAACTCGTTTTACAGACTCTCTTCGCACCCTTCAACGAACTTTCCCTTCTCGCCTATCGCTATTACCGTTCCGTGAAACCACCCTTTAAAAGTACCATCTCTTTCGTCTCTTATCTTTTCAAAGCGATCGAGGATAAGAAAGGATTGTTGAAGAGAGGATACGTGCCGTTTTAATTGCGACGATCAAATTTTCATCATAAAAATCGTCCATCCTACGTTGGTTTTCTTAACGGTACTAATGATAATTCTTATCTAAAATATGTATCTCTAATTATGAATAATTTTAATTAAAATTCTTTCAAATAAGAATTTATTTTATTAACGTGATATTCGCATAGAGAATGTTTTGTCTAAGTTTTCTAATAAATCTATGTCGTCGTTCAATGATTTTCGTTTAATATATAACAATTTTTATCGTATAAATGACAAAATTTTATTAATATGATTTATCGCGTTTAAAACGTTCTATTCACAATTTCTAATAAATCTATGTCGTCGTTCAATGATCTTCATTTAATATATACAATTTTTATTTTTAAATGATAAAATTATTACGCTAATAATTTAAAGCAATAGTTTCATTCTGTGTAGTATGGTTTCTTCCTTTCCCTTCCCTCTTCAATTTTTTATCCTTTTTTTTTTAAACTGTTACGAGAAAGAAGAGAGAGAGAGAGAGAGAGAGAGAGAAGAGGAATGGTCGTTGATTGAATGAAGATAGCTATTCATGCTTTTAATTACGATCGATGGAGTACTTTTAATTGCACCAATAAACTTTCCATCGAGAGATCAGATATTCATAAATGAAAATCATCTTTGTCATTGTCTATCGTTATTTTCATCGATTAATATAGATGCATACACAGACACACACACACATATACACCTTGGTGTATTTATATAAATAAATATATACATATATATATATATATATATATATATATATATATATATATATATATAAGTATACAGACTTTAACATTTACAAAATAATGTTCACGTGTGTATGCTCACTAACTGGGGTGCATGACGATTATATTCTCCATTATCAGCGAAATAATTATAAAGTTCAAACAATGGTGTGCCTGGATTCTCGCAAAATATAGATTTCAACAAACAGTAACCTAACGAACGATCGTTTAATTCGAGGTTAATCGAGGGAATCGCCGTTATCAGATGCAAACATTCGCTTACGTGGCCAAACGTGTGAATTTATTTCTCTCGGCTAATTCGACGAGAAGACTGAGAGCGAGAATGGTGGGAGGGAAGGGGGGATGGATGGGTGCATTTGAATTGTCAAGCGTAAATTAGAATGAAATCAAATGCATTCGCATTGCTAATACATTAATACTCGTGGAAATAATCAATGAAAATGACGTAATTGTAAATTAAAAATTTCTTCATTAATTTCTATTGCTAATATCTAATAATTTATAGAATCTCATGTCAAAATAGATTATGAAATAACTTATTATTTTCTTTCGAAAGTATTCATAAATTTAATTGTTAAGTTTTCTTTTTTTTTTTTTTTTGTGGCTACATCATTTCAATATATAATCTTTTGTATACTTTATATTAAATCCACTTAAAATAATAATTTATACGAATTAATATTAACATAAATTTGCAATACTCGTTTAATGTATCTTCGAATCAAAGGAAGATAACACTTTTAAATGTTTCAATATAAAATATCTTATGAAACTTTATTTTCATTAATTATTTTGTAAAATTATAATAACATAAATGATTTTTCTCTTTTAGGTACTCCCAAGTTTTGATTATCGGAAAATTAAAACGTGAGAAGTTGTGTACGATCATCGTTTGGAAGGATAAAAAGTGAAAAAGAAATTAATGGAATGAATTTCGTCTAATGCCTGGTTGTCCATTAATGGCATAGAAGCACATTCTCTTTTCACCCTCCATTCATATTTCCTCTTTCATCTTTATCGAGAGGAGGGCGAGCCTATCGAGTGAGCCCCTATAAAGCACCCTCGACTCCATCGTCTTTCATCGTCATCGTCACCGTCATCGTCATCGACGTCGACGTCGACGTCGACGTCGTCACCATCGTCGTCACTATCGTCGTTGAACAAAAGAGCTGCGTCAAGAACAGAAGGCTCAGCTTTGCTGAATCGTTGCTCTCCTCACCTAAAAGAAACCTGACGAGAGCATCCATCGATACTGCCCTCTTCGTTGTTACATCGCTTTGTTCTCTTCCTTCTTTCATCCTCATCCATCTCAACTTCCTTTTTATTTCTTTCTATACTCAAGAGGAAAGGGATAATTACACATCGAAAATCAATTTCGTCCGGACACCAAACCCAACCGGATTGAATTTATTGGCGAAACGAGCGATTTTTCAGGTGAATATAAATAAACTTTTTTTTATTCTTCTTTCCTAAGCGATTTGTTCATTTTTCTATTGTTTATCTATTTTATCTTATTGAACCTATTGCATATACACAGTATAATATATACAGTATATATATATGTATGTATGTATATATGTATGTCGTAGATAGGTTGCATACGAAATCGTGAACGATAAAACAGTGACAAGCGATGATTAAGGGTAGGTTTCAGTCTAGCATTGTAGAAAAAAGGTTTTTTTTTTTTTTTTTTTTGAAATTTTCTTTCTACAACTAAATATACAATTCAATATCTTTTTACATATTATATTTGCAACATATAAATTTTTCTTTTTCTTTTTTTTTCTTTTTAATTGATACATTGAAAGCATTAAATATTGACAACGTGCCGTTTTGAATAATTATGCTCCACAAATTTTTATTGAACGATGGGACTTATAGCTATATGCGATTTAATTTGGAAATAAAACAAATCAAACATATTTTTAAGTTGCATGAAATATCCGACGAAGTGTATTTATAACAAAAGTAAAAAAGAGAAAAGCATTTTTTTTATCATTTCAATCTTTACATATTTTTGCTATTTTCCCTTCTAAATTAATGGAATTAATTTGAAATATATTAAATATATTAATGAATTTATTAATAAATTTCATTTCCTAAATAAAATTTGGCAAAACTGAATATATTACTCATTTTTCACTCTCCGCGAAAATATATATTCTTTAATTGAAAAAAAAAATTGATTTATATAAATCAATTAATTCTTGAGATATTTGTTTCATCAATTTGTAAAATTATATTTGAGGAAACATGCGTTTAGAATCACTACTGCAGATGAAGAAATACGTGCTATAATGCAACGAAAGTAGAAATGTAGCAGCTTATGGTTAAGGAACTTTGATAATTTATAGAATTTCAAAAATTTCTTTTCAACTGTATATTTTGGACACATCAAAGAAGTGAAAAATCTAAAGAAAAAAAAAAAAAACAAAAAGAAAAGAAAAGAAAGAAAAATCGATTTTTTTACAGTTCAAAATTAAAAAAAAAATAAATACATTTTTCTCAACGAAATATAAAACATTGATTTTTCATAAATCAAACTCGTTGAAACCGACGATGACTTCGAAAACAAAAAAAAAAAAGACAAAAAAGGAAAAAAAGAGATATTATAATTCATTATTTCGTTTTCAATCGACAAATCTCAACATGTGTGGTAATTTTTTCTTCGCGTATGAAGGAAGTGAAAAACCTAAAAAAAAAAAAAAGAGAAGTAGAAAATCGATATTTCGAAAGTTTTAGAACGAAACATCCCCTTAAGCGATCCTGGGAGAGGAAATTTCGAATCGTTTGAAAGCTGTAGGAAAGGTAGATGAATAGGTTATAGATAATGAATATAATCGATAAAGGTTCTTTAAATGACGCGTTTTTCTATACGATCGCGCATATGAACTTTGAACTATATCTATTTTCAATTCTTAATCTCGTTAATGATAGATCATATTTCGTAATTTCTTTTATTGTACGTTCATCTACAAAGATATCCTGACTTCAAATATTTTTTTATCCCTTTTTCTTTTTTTTTTTTCTTTTTTCAATAATTTTAATAGGACTCGTATATTTCTCAGCTCAGTTTTTAGAAAAAAAAAAAAAAAAAAGAAAAAAGAAAATGTCGATTAAAGGCTTCTTTCTAAAGAAAGAAAAAAGAAAAAGAAAATTAGAAAATTGAAAAATTCGATTGCAAGAGGGAAACAGCGTATTAATTTTCTCACGGCAATATTTTTCGGATTTCATTCTCAAAACTGAAACAAAAAAATATAATGAGAGTATTAAGGAGAGATGTAAAGACGATATTGTTCAAGTTTGTTCGAAATACAAAACGTTCGGTAATTAGTGTGGTATTATAAGAAACGTGACATGATATATCGCCAAGTTATAAAGGCGGCTAAGTGAAAACCAGCAACTTCGCGTCGGCAGCAGTATCCTTTTATTTCTTCTTAAGAGAAAAAAAAAAGAATAAATAAATAAATAAATAAATAAGAAAAGTAAATTCTTAAACAAGCGTAAGCTCTTTTATGCTGGCTTATTTTCTTTTTTTTTTTTTTTCTTTTTTTATGTCGTGACTCTTTAAACATACATATCACGCATTTTATTTCAAATATTTATATTATCTAACTATTTTTATTATATTTCCCAAATATTCCCATTCTTATTATATTTTTTAAATACTTCTATTTTTCTTTTTTTTTTCTTTTTTTTTTTTTTTTCTTTTTTATAACTAATTCAAAATAGCTACGAACCTACGCTCCATCGCTTTTAATCAAATCGCAAAATTCGGACAAACAATTTTGATTCATCGAATAAATTTCCTCTCTCTGTTATTATCGTGAGCGAGAAAGAGAGAGTGTGTGTGTGTTTGTGTTTGTGTGTGTGTGTGTATGTGTATACTATAGCAGGAGTTATAGGGATATCGATTAAGCGTTTGATGTTCAGCGACTTCACGTCAAAACGGTCAGTCATAATTTTCGCGGACGTTTAATCAAGCTACACACACTGCACCCGTTCATAATTCATACTAGATGTTGTTCTCCATCCTCCATCCCTCTCCTTTGCCACAATCAAACAATCACTTCTTCTCTCGTATAACGAACACGATTCGACTTCGTTTAAGTTTATCGCGATCGTAAGAACAATGGTTAACACTGTGAAAATATTTTCTATAATAACTCATACTGTTTATAGACGTATATATTCGTTACTGAAAAATAAAAAAGTAAAAGAATAATTTCAAAGGAATTAAAATATTTCTATAACTTTTTCCTTTCGAAGTTCTTACAAAAAAAAAAAAAAGAAAATCAAATGTCCGTTTATGCAAAACCATTTCATTAATTCACTCGCTCTTTTATTAGACGCCATAAATTATCGTATTTCTTTATTAATTTATGACATACATCATATAAGACGTAAATTTAAATTCCGTAAAAATACAGATCGTAAAAATTCTTTAATTGATTTATGAACTTTTTTATAGATCACGATCGTTTATTAATTAAGAATTTAGACTCGTTCTATCATTATAAAATATATCCTATAAATCATTATAAAATATATCCTAGATATATATATATATATATATACATATGTATGTATATGTATAAAGTAATAATTAAAAAAAGCGTTTGATCTTTGACACGATCATACGAATCCTTTAAAAACAATCCTATATTAATAATTATTCAAAGAGAAACTCGAATCACGATTCGTAAAGAATATTACGAAAGATTCGAAATCGTTATACTTCTACTTAATTATAGTAAACTTGAAAGAACAATAATAAAACGCAAACTGTTCGAGTTTAACGGAATAAAGATGAGAAAGAGAGAGAGAGAGAGAAAGAGTAGAAGAAATAGGCGAAAGGTCAAAGTTAGTGGATCGAAGTACGAATGTGAAAGCGCCTGCTCGCGACCCACTTAAATTCTTGAAAAAGCGAAAAGGAGTACTTCGTGACATGAGAACTCGCGAACATTCGAGAAATAGAAAGAAAGAAAAAGATAAAGAGGTGTAGGTGGGAGGTGGATAAGGAAAGACAGAGATAGAAAGAGAGAGAGAGAGAGAGAGAGAGAGAGAGAGAGAGAGAAAGAGAAGGTCGTCCGTTGGCACGACCTTGTCTTTCCTGTTATATCTGGCCAACCTTCGAGGTAAAACACTAGCGAAGAGAGAATGACGTAGAGGATTTACGAGCAATCGATCTTTCTCTCTTCTTTCTCTATCTTTTTCTCTCACACATACATACATAAAAACAGACGTACCTGTATATCGTACCTATGCTTATAAGAAAGAGAAAGATAGAATCGGAACTTTCGTGAATGAACACCGAAATAGACGATCGAATTATATTATCTTCGAAGGTTATCGTCGGGAATAAAAGTAGAGCGTAGAAAACTCAAGAAGGAAAAACTTTACTACTTCCTCTTGTTTTTTTTTTATTTCCTTTTATTTTTTTTTCCTTCCTTTTTCTTTTCTTTTTTTTTTCTTTTTTTTTTTTCTTTTTTTTTTTTGCAACTCTCTATTTGTCGGTCGATACGTTGTAGGAAGTTATAGTCGATAAAAGTACGAACATTATACTAACTATCGCAGTGACGGTCACGTTTGCATGTTTTATGGACGTATTCCGAGTATTACATATAATATACATACATACATATATATATATATATATATATGTATATATATATATATGTATGTATGTATATCGAACGGATTGAAGACAAAGCGACGTTGAGTACAGTAATAAGGAAATGTATGTTGATCAATGAGCATTGTGAAAAGTTATGAACTTGTGATTAATTGTAACTAAACATAACGTGTATATAACGAGTAAAAATTGTAAATGGTTAATACAATTTATAAATTATATAACATATATATGACGTAGAATATGTAAGAAGTAGGATATACGTATATAGACTGTATAAAAATTTGTACATATATAAGAAAGAAATTAGTAATTCGAAAGTTTTAATGTAAAATAGGAACAAGTGAATGATTGTTGTGAATTATTGTTGTTTATTTTGGATATTTTGTTCGGAGATAGATCATCGATTTGATATTTCAATATAATGTCAATTTATCTTTATAGGTAACTATTAAATTACTTCTTTCATTTATTTTCCATTATCTTACACGATTATTCCTTTTTATTTTTTTACAGATTGCTGCGTTTACACGGCAAGCGTGTCCCATGAAGTCGACGGACGACGTTACGAGAGTAGTCGAGGAGTTGAGGTTCATACCAATCGACGCGAGACAAGGAGTTCGTTCGATGGGCGAAAGGTGAATATTGAAGTGAAAGAGAAACGAAGAAACGAGAAAAAAGTGGAAGAGGAAGAGGAAGAAGAAGAGGAAGAAGAAGAAAAAAAAGAGGAAGAAGAAGAAGAAGGAAGAAAAGGAGAGAGAAGAAGAAGAAAATTCGACAAGATGTATAAAATCTTACGTCGAGGTTCTGGACGTCTATTCGTCTTATGCGTTGTCGTACTATCTCTCCTTCTCTGTCTTTATTACGTGAATCAGGCCCAAGCACCGTCCACCGCCTCGTCGGCGGCCATTTTAAACGAGGAACTTCGATACGATCGAAGCTTGACATCTATCACACCGGATTACAGCGAAGTACCAGATTCTAGGATATCATTGGCCACTTGTCCTGTCACCGAATCACGACACGCTGACATCGATGCACAGCGAGAATTTGAGAAGTTCGATTTCCAGGTAAACGATCATATTCATTTACACATTATATAATCTTTCGCTATCTTTTTTCTTTTTCGTTTTTAAATATCCTAAATTGTGCACGAAACTGAAAAGAAATCTTGCGGAGGACAATTAAATCAAATTCAATTAGCAATTAAATCTCTGAACGATCTGTGACTACGTCACAATGGTATGATATTCAATTCATTCATCGTTTCGTTTATTTTCGATACGTCTTATTTATTGTCCAATTAACAATTGTCTCCGTAAATAACGCAATAGAATCAAAAATACGTGTGATGAAAGAATAGTTTTTTTTTTTTCATTCTGATTAATTAGGATCTGATTCCTTCAGCTGGACTTTCTTTTCAGTTTTGCACAGTACATAACGGGGGAAAAAAAAATTAAAATTAAAATTAACACATGTCACAAAAATAATGTCACTTTATCAAAATTCATTTTGATATATCTTATTCAGAATATTGAATATTTAATTGTAAACGTTTGAATGTTCATTTAGAAAGAATACAAATTAGAATAACGTGTTCTAGGTTGGAAGAATCAATGGGTTTGATTTTTTATACCGTTGCTGATAATGATCGATTGACTTTTAACCCTAGTCGTGCCTATTGGGTTATAAGATACCCCGGACCAACTTTGAGTTCAGTTAAAACAATTTACGCATTGCATGATTCATGATATCATTTTTTTTTTTTTTTTTTTTTATAATGACAGAATTGGAAATGTGTTTTCAAAACAACTGATTATTATTTCCGAGGCTTCAAAGAGTATACAGAATTTTTTTAAATCAAAATTATTCCATTCTGTATAAATGACACAGCTGTTCAAAATGCCTATGGTGTAGCGCACCCCAAGTGCACAACTAGAAATTATTTTGAGGTGTGCACAATTAGGGTTAATACATCTGTGTTGACGCACACATGCGTAATCTCAGATATTTACAGTACTATCTCCTAAATGTATGTCGACACACGTGTGCAACCTCAGGTATCTACAGTATTTTCTCCGAAGGGTTACATATCCCTATTGGATAATATCTGTCCCTAGGAATTCCTTGGATAATCATTAAGAAAACGAATAGATAAAAAACACATTACCACCTTTGTCCAAGTTTAAGCACTGTTAGTAAAGTACTTAGTTTTTGATAACATGTGTCGAGCCAAATACCTATTCTTCAAATATCACCCATGGGTCCACAAGTTTACCCAGGACAAAGGATCATACATGAGATTAGTTAAACATTTCGAACGAACTATCCCGACACACCGAATAGCAATAAAAATATCGTTTTCCCGTTCCAGATATTTTTTACTTAAATTCCTCCCTTTCCATTTACCTTTCCTAAATCATTAATGCATTTATGATTAATACGAAAGAAATCTGCGAACAGTCAGATCCAAGCATTCACATTCATTAATAAGACAACCAAGTTTTATCGATATCACTGGCTATGTCTCTCAAATGGAGATATCCAGGACAAACTAAATTGTAGCAGTCAAACCTTACATACTTCCAACTCTCAACATTCAAACCTCCGAGTCTTATTACATTAATGGTTATCACTTCTTAGAAATAGCCAACAAGATTAACTACACGTTACTTGTACTCATCAACGGTTGTATCATACTACGACAAATATACTATGATAACTACAATTCACATTATATACCTATTGTCTCGCGTCTATTTATGAGCTTCACAAGATCCTTCAAAAGAATTCACGTTCTCTCATTATTTTGCGGGAATGCGGCGAGCGGTATTTTGCTGACGACCTTCAATGATATCTTAGCCTAATGCTCTCCTCCCTTCTCCTCCTAACCCTTATTCATAGTGACCAGTTGGTCTATAATTTTGACGATTAGGAAGAGACGAGGGAACTTTTTCCATGCGAATCAACTATCATCGCTGATCCGATACATATCTAAAAACATTCTCGTAATTGCAACCCTTACCACCCAACAATCTATTTTAATATTTAACGAATATTGATTAATTTTTTTGTTTACAACTCCATTAAATTATTACAATAACAATGATAGAGAGAACATTTTTATCCAGCAATATTGATCGTGTAAATTACTCGATCAAGAAAATTTGTCTCCGTCGAAATGTTAAGGAGGAAAAAAAAAGAAAAAATCAAGGAGGACACCCATGTCGCCATCCTTTCCCTTCGATTTATCGACTCGAATAATCCACGAAAAACTTTCCCGTAACCATACTTTTTCAACCTAAAAGAAATATATTCCTTCGGTGATGGCCGGAGAGGACCGTGACGATTAATTTTACTTTCTACACGCCGCGAGTCTTGGTAACGTAGCTCGTCGTTACGAATGAACCAGTTTCATCGTTGTCTTCCAACGTTGGAGTTGGAAGAAAAAGAGAGAGAGAGAGAGAGAGAGAGAGAGAGAGAGAGAGAGAGAGAGAGGAAAAGAGGGAATGGACGGGAGGGGGAGGGGAGAAAGAAAAAAACATAAAAGAGAAGAACGAAGTACAGTCGTTTTGAAAGTACCGCGTCATTAGCCACGGAACTTTCCTTTCTTCCGGTCTTCACCGCAATGGCGGGGAAAGGGTCGTAAAGAGTGAGAGGAGGAAGAGGAGAGAAGGAGAAAGGGAGAAGGGGAAAAAGGTAGAGAGTGCTTCCTTTGAGTTTTGCTGATTTAATGGCCGACGAGTCGCTCTCATAAAGGCATTTTTCTTTTCCGCGACGATATTCCTTTTCTCGAACGAATAGAAAGAGAAAAAGGGTGAAGGGCGGAGGGAAAAATGATCGACTATAGTTACTCTTTACGTTATTCTTTTTTTTTTTTCTTTGCATTTCTTTATCTTTTTATTTATCTTTTGCGTTCTCTTTAACCGAAGTGCTTTATTATTTTCTTTTTCATTTGCTTATTCTCTTTCTCTCGTTCTCTTTGTTGAACGATCATATCTCATTCTTATCAATAGGATTCTCATCGACGTTAGACAATTTCAAAGAATCAATTTCTTGTAAAATCATAGATATTTATCTTGAAAAATAAAAGAAACAAAAGACGACGTTTATCTAATGATTCCGATAATTGACACAATCGATCGTTAAGAGATGGCAATGGGTAAAAGACATAGGGGATTAATTGAATGGAACGGAAGAAATTTTATGGAGTTCAATGAAGCATTAATTCAACATTAGGAAAGTGATAACATACTGTAGTTTCATGTTCGGCCATGTTGAACTAACCTAAAGGCACCGTAGTAATCTAGAGAGGCTTGCCAGCATCTGGCAAGTAGTAATATTCGGAATAGTCGAGGCCTCATAGCCTCTCTCTCTCTCTCTCTCTCCCTTTCTCATTCTCTCTACAGTACTGAATCGTTCATGAGCCGGTATTGCGATTTTGAGTGGCCAAAGACCGTTTCTGCTATTTCGCAATGGCGGCGAACTAACACGCTGCCTGGAACTATTGCAATGCCCTCGGATTTGACTTCAACGAGTCGATGACTATACAATCCGTACCAACGGATCAGAGACCGAGAAAGCTCTCGCCTCCAACAGGTACATGCTGGCTTACAATTGCAATTTCGAAGTCTGTTTGTGGCCTCGTAATGATAGCTTTTGTGAAATTAGAGTTTCCTTGAGTTCCGTTTCGCACTATTACCGACATTGACATATTTATTGCAATTAGTGATATTTATCGGTTCCATATTACATTCTCTTTAAAATTTTCTTAACGCTTCGAAAATTATCCCAACGATTATTGTTATCTCTAAGAGATTATTTATTCACGTCGCAATTATTTATTTCCGTCAATATTTGGAATCATATTAATCGCTATTATATCGATCTATTGATAAAACATGCCTATTTCGTTATCGTTGATATTATAATTAATAATTTTCGTGTAAAAAATGATTTACTCTTATAAATATTGTTTTATTGATTGCCTCGATTGAACGTTTATTATTTAAAGCTTAATTAATAGTAATTAATTCTCATTATTATTATTATTATTGTTATTATTATTATTATTAATAATAATATTATTATTATTATCGAACTGTGCCAAGCAATATATCGTGATTGATCGCAATGTAAAAATAATTTTATGTAGCTCGTTTAAACGTAGAGCGATAAGAAGGTAACCGTGGAATTTGATCGCGACAACACAAAGGAACGTTCCACTTACCAAGTTCGATCTTTCATTTCTCTTTGCCGGTTCGTAGCGATAGCACGTTTCTTCGCGCATGTTTTTCGAATTAAGCGATAACGAGAAATAGCTTCAATGTTACACCGATTTCGTTGCTCTCATTCTATCACGAGTTATTATGAGCCGATTTATTTTTCTTTTATAACGAATAAAACTAGCTCATTTCTTGTTGCGAACCAATTATATAAGAGATCTGTTTTTATACGATCGTTCATTTTATTTTCTTCAACAGAAATTTCTTTATTTTCTATTTCATCTAACAACATCCAAATACGTTTATTTATGATTACATTTTTTATAGTTGTTATTCTGTCCTTAATAATTATTGTAAATAAGAGCATATCTATACCCTTGAAAGTCCGTTGAACTTTCTCACAAGAGTAATTTATGGGTGCTCTTGAAAAATTCATTGGACATCTGCCAAGGGACAAACGTAGGATAAATAATATATGATACAGAATTTTGTCTGATTTTTAAATATCTTTTCATGTATGATTTACAGAATACATTTTATGTATGATTTACAGAATTTTCTTAAGCCGAATAATAAATATAAGAGATATTATAGATCAGAGATTTATTATAGTTCAAGAGATTTATAGATGAAAAGATTTATATGTTTATCTTCGATCTAGAGATAGTTATTTTTTCCCTCATAAATAATGCAAACACCTGGTATAAAGTATCGTCCATGAAATTATTTAAAAATATTTGAGACGAATATTCTGGACAGGAATATACCCGACCAATTAAAAATCAGTTCTGCTCTTTTTTCATGTTGCACGAAACTATCCTATATTTTATTTTTTCCTTAAGGCT